AAGAGTACATAGTCTTAAATTACCAGGAGGGTACTACACTGAGCATGGCTGACCGGTACTTTTTTTTTTTTTTTTAAATAAACCCAAAATGAACCCGCTTACAGCAGGCACCCCAGCCAGCGCAGGAAGACATTACTCACCTGACTGCACCCCAGAAACTGCTGGCGGCACCATAGAAGAGACAGCAGCTTGAAAAGAGGAGTCCATTACCTGCAGCGCGTTCCCATGGCAACTGGAGCTTCAGACGCCACCTGCTGGACGGATCCGGCAACTGCACCCAAAGCCTGAAGCAGCAGTGGAGAGATGAAGAGCCAACGCTCCAGGACAGAAGGCTGCCGAGACAGGTAAGGAGAGGGAGGGTGGGGGAAGGGAGAGGGGGGTGGAAGGGCAAAGAAGGTCAGCAAGGAGCAGGAGGGTACAATAAAGAAAAAGGGTGAACAAAGAAAAAGGGGGGAGGACACAACAAAGAAAGAGGGGGGGACCATAAAAAAGAGGAGAAAGCAAAATAGAAGAAGAGGGAGACACCACACTGAAAGGGGGGGGAACAATAAAGAAAAGGGGGACACAATAATTGAGGGGAGAAACATTGGAAGGGGGGAGGGGCGGGGAGCCCACATCGCCCGCGGACCCCGCCCGGACAAAAGAGGACAAAGAGACCCCCTGGAGCCCATGAGGAAACCCTCCCCACCCAGCGGCAGCGGTACCCCATATGGTGTTTTGGAAAGTTACAGGGTTAAATATAGGGCTTGTAAATTAAATTCGCTGGACTTTCTGCCTGGGTTGTCAGGCAGGTCCCATGAATTATAAGTAATAAAATTACTTAATTATGTAAAAATAGTAGATAAATATACATGTTAAATATATATATATATATATATATATATATATATATATTTATATATATTTATATAATTATATTGAAGAAAGATGCACTCTTCGGTCTTGTTAAGAATATTAACGGTCTTTAATCCATCAAAGGTTTACAGGTTGTTTGATCATATGAGACCATTCCTATAATATTTTCATTGATCTCCTAGCAACTCACATCACTGGCATCACTCTCACATGATCCTGTATGTCACGTGACTTCTGGCTTTCACTTCCTGGGTTTGGACTGAATGGATGAGGGAATCACATCACAATTGGAGAGTACTGTCTATCTTTTTCTATATATATATCTTGATTTTATGGTTATAAGTTGATCCTGAGGAAGACCCGAACGGGTCGAAACGTTGATCAAACAACCTGTAAACCTTTGATGGATTGAAGACCGTTAATATTCTTAAAAAGACCGAAGAGTGCATCTTTCTTTAATATAATTATTTATCAGCATAAGATTGCACCAGGGCACTTTACTATTCATTACATCAGGAAGGGTGAGTGCCATTATTTGTGCTATATATATATATATATATATATATATATATATATATATATATATATATATATATATATATATATATATATATATATATATATATATATATATATATATATACATACATACACACATATACACACACACACACACACACAAACATACACACATACATATAAATTATAATTCTAAGTGTATTTTGATAAATATATACGCTGAACAAAATGCTCAGTGCTCATGCCATTGTACAGAACACTGGTGAGATCTCACTTGGAGTATTGTACGCAGTACTGGAGACCGTATCTTCAGAAGGATATTGATACTTTAGAGAGAGTTCAGAGAAGGGCTACTAAACTGGTTCATGGATTGCAGGATAAAACTTACAAGGAAAGGTTAAAGGATCTTAACATGTATAGCTTGGAGGAAAGACGAGACGGGGGATATGATAGAAACATTTAAATACATAAAGGGAATCAACACAGTAAAGGAGGAGACTATATTTAAAAGAAGAAAAACTACCACAACAAGAGGACATAGTCTTAAATTAGAGGGACAAAGGTTTAAAAATAATATTAGGAAGTATTACTTTACTGAGAGGGTAGTGGATGCATGGAATAGCATTCCAGCTGAAGTGGTAGAGGTTAACACAGTAAAGGAGTTTAAGCATGCATGGGATAGGCATAAGGCTATCCTAACTATAAGATAAGGCTAGGGACTAATGAAAGTATTTAGAAAATTGGGCAGACTGGTTCTTATCTGCCGTCACATTCTATGTTTCTATAATTTTGTGCAGTGTATATATCAAGATATGCTTATGATATTACATATATACTTTTTACATTTTTATTTTATGTATGTCATTTATTAATATATGTATAATATATTATAAGTCAATTAAATCATCTGATTAATATATTATACATATATAATTTAATTCTAAGTGTATTTTGGTATTAATATATAGATTATTAAATTATATATGTATTATGTATGTATAATATGCTAATCAGATGATTTAGACTGCTTTGCGGTCATGTTATTGCGACGTCCGTCACGCTTACATGGCCTGGAGGGCCGAAATGGAAGCAGGGGGACTGCCTGTTTTCGAGAGGTAGTCCCCCCCGACCGGGATTACCGCGGATTGCTGGTCTAGGTAAGTAAATTGGGGAGCGTATTATGCTGCCCTAACAGTGTTAAGGGGTTTAAAAAAAAAAAAAAAAATATATATATATATATATATATATATATATATATTTTAATACCTCCTTCCCTGTTGTTACCTGGCATGGAGGGTGGTATGCTGATTTCTGATGGCCCAGTATGCTGGAAACCTGCTCTGTACCTCCGTATGTAATATTTGTTTTAGATGTATTGACTGTGTTTGATATGTGTGTATTGACTGTATGAGATATTTGTAATTCAGATATTAATAAATTCATGTAGGTCAATATGTATTTTTGCAGTGTCACATGCATACAGTCCCACAGTCAGATGCACACATAAATACACATGTACATAGCCATAGATAGACAGTTACACAGTCACACACACAATTACAGGCAGTATCACACATGCACACACAGTTACACAAAGAGTCACGGGCATAAAGTCACACACACACACACATACAGTTACAGGCAGTAAAACACAGTAAAAGGCAGTCACGGGCAGACAGTCACACACTCATACACAGTTATATACTTTTGCACACAGTAGCAAGCAGATAGGTACACACACACACAGTTACAGACAGACAGTCACACACACGGTTACAGGCAGACAGCCACAGACATAGTTACAGACAGTCACACACACATACACACGCACACACTTACAGGCAGCCAGTCACTGGCAGACAGCCACACACAGTTACAGGCAGACAGTCACAGAGGAGCTACAGGCAGACAGTGGCACACATAGTTAAAGGCAGCCACACACACAGTCACACAGTTACAGACAGTCACATACAATTACAGGCAGCATTCGTGTCATCAGGAAACCCACAATCTATCGATCAAATACATCTCTTTGAATTATGCCTCCCTGGTCTCCCCAACTGGTGCATAGCTATGCAACCAGGACCCTGACTGTCTTGGGCCTTGAGTCGATTACCAATGTGCCCGAGTGTTCAGTCTGCCCTTGCTGAGCAGTACAGAGGGGATAGGCTGCTGGGGACTCTCATTTAGTATTAAACCATGAAAAATGTTCTAACACTGAACAGAAGAATGCTGCCAATGAACTCCCATATACATTAAAAACTTAAATGGATTGGAGCAGTTACAGTGCCTAAAAAAATCTACATCCTTAAAACGCATTTATGAATAATCTTCAATAATTGTGTATTTCATGTCTCCCTAAGGAGACTTTTTAGGGATTATTCACAAAACAATGAGCTATGTTGACTTTCAAAACTTGATGAATATATTTCTCACTCTACATATCAGTTCATAAATAATTTCTACTGAAGAGTGTGACTGAAGATCACGAATACAAAATTGTTATAATGAAAGTTCTGTTTGAACATTATCCAGGAAAAGTTAATACTGAAAACAACCAAAAAAAAAAAAGATAAAAACATAAATGCCAGATATAGAATTTCTAGTATTGGCACCAATTATTCATTCTCTGTCAAGGAAACAATGTGATGTAAATGCCAAAGGTTAGTGTTATGATTTAGTAAAGCTTAAGCATACAAAAACAAAAATGTTTGTAACAGCATTGAAGTGAAAATAACAGACAACTTTCAAATAGCACTGTAAAGACATTATAATGTGTGGACTTTACATTCTACTATTTATAGCTGTAAGATTGCATACATTTTACAAATAAGGCCAATCACAGTAGGAAATAGGAAACGCATGACTAAAACGTTTGAAATTTTGTTTTCTAAATATTGAGCCACAGGGCTCAAACTTTCCACTCGCCCAATAGCAAGTGTTGAGTGAAAATTCTGCCTCAATGAGTTGAAATTAACCTCTGGTGAGTGTGCCATGGGCCCTTCAGGTTTTGGGCAAGTAACTTTTAGGCTTGGACAGTAGTGTAGGACTTGATATGTTGACCCCATCAGGATATCAAATCTGTATTTGCTCCAACTTTGACAAAGTCCACTACATAAATGAGACCAATCTTGCAGTCCTTTTGGCAACAGTTTTAATAATTTGGCCAGACATCAGATATAACCACACTTGCTTGACATTTTGGCCAAAATGTAAAACTATGTGTAGAAGGAACTTGGTTTAATGGGCTTCCACTCACTATTATTATATAGAGGTATGTAGGTATTTATAGGACAGGTTTTGGCTAGGGATCCTGCTAACCCCCCAGGGAAGGAAGGGGGGAATCGAGAAAAATAAAATTACCTAACATTTTGAGTGGGGAAGTCCACACCTTTGTATATTTTAGTAATAGCCCCCACCCACTGCCTATGTGTGAGGGCTGTTTATTTAATAGCCCTAGTACTCTGCACAGCAGCTAGAGACACTGATGCTGTGCATGGGCTTAACTCTTCAGAAAAGCTCACTACTACTAAGTAGTGTGTTGTTCCTTGCCAATGTGCAGCATGTCAGAAATTGCAGGAAGGCATCTGTGATTCTCAGAACACAATGCCTCTGTTTTTCAGCCACTATACTCCAGGGACTGCTCACTTTGCAACTCCTATTTCATTTGCAATGTAGACAGAGGTCTTCAAGTGAGGCTTATTGTGTGTCGTTTATTTGTGTGCATGCAGCTCTGTATTTGCCGCGAGGCAAACAAGGCACTTGCCTTGGGCGGCACATTCCAGGGGGCAGCAAAAAAACGACACCCCCAAATGCCCAGGCAAATGCCTTGTTAGCCTCGGGGCAGGTGGCTAGCTGAGCTCCAGGTGCGCCGCAGAGTGATGCCGGGAGCCAAAATATGACGTCGAATTCAGGCTCCCGGACCACGCTGCTGCAAGTGAGCTCACAAATCAGCGCTCACTTGACGCCCGCCTTCCTGCCCAAGCAGCTCGGTCAGTAGCCCCACTGGACCCCAGGTTAAAAATCCGCCCAGCTCTCCCAAAGGTAGGGAGGCTGGGTGGATTTAAATTAAGATAAAAAAATAATCTGTGAGTGTTCGAAGGAAATGTGTGAGTGTGTCTGGCTGTCTGTCAGTGAGTCTGTGTGTGTATATATCGGTCAGTGAATGTGTGTATGTCTGTCAGTGTGTGTGTCTGTGAGGGAGTGTTTATCTGTCAGTGTGTGTCTGTGAGGGAGCTGGTGTGTCTGAGTGAGGGTCTGTCTGTCTGTGAATGTGTGTGTGTGTCCGAGAGATTGTGTGTGTCTGTGTGTGCGTGTCTGTCTCTGCATCATTGTGTGTGTATGTCAGTGAGGGATTGTGTGTGTGTCAGATTGTGTCAAATCAGTGAGTGTGTGTGTATGTAAGTGTATCTAAATGTGTGTGTGACTGTCAGTCATAGTGTGTGTTAGTCTTTAACAGGAAGGGGTGTGGCCTTGCCAGGAAGGGGTGGGTAAATTTAAATTAGGGGGTGCCCCAAATGTAAACTTGGGGGTGCCCTAGTTCAATCATGCCTAGGGCAACCCAGATCCAAAATCTTATCTTACATTATCTTTCCTCAATGTAAGCTTCGGCATTATGTATTAGTCATGTCCTGGTCTACACAAAATTGGTAAGAGTTATACACACAGGCAGCAACTGCTATTTACAACTGCCATCATAAATTCAAGCATATTCCCAATAGCAAAATGCAGGCAGAGGAACTAGGAAGACAGAATTTACCTGTTTCCGTGTCCCCTATCCCTCTCTCACAATATCATTATTGGACAAGAACTGAATATAAATGACCCCAGCCAGTACAGTGTGAGTGAATTATTAGACACTCTTGCGCTGTGCTAAAGACCCTAGGACCACTTAGTGAGGTCTTCAGCAACACTCTCTGCATTGTTGGTCCTGAGTGAGGCCTGCTGGGAAGCGGTCAGTCATCGTGGCATGTGTTCACACCGGGATAGCACACTCCTTTCTTGGCAGAAAGATAAAACTGCCTATTGTGCGCATTACCAGTGACACAAGTTGCGCCACTGGTACACGCCTCTAGGCCCACCCATTCCATGTCCCACTTTCGTACGTCCCAAGTTGGCAAGTATATGACATTATTAGAGACATAACTCTCCTACTTCGGCAACAGTAGATACCAAAGACAGCAAAGAGCCAAGCTTAAAACTGTAGCCTATTGCAGCGTGGTCCAGTTGGGAAGGTATAAACTCTCCCATAATCAGATTGCATTGCAAATCTACCATGGACTGTGGCTCTTGTATATCTGGATGTGGGTCTGTCAGAGACTATTTACATATATTGCAATCTCCATCTCAAAGGAAATAAACTATAAATACAAATGTCTATGTGCGTGAGAGCATGAATGTATGTATGTATGTATGTATGTATAGGCATTTGGCTGAAAAAGTGTCTGGTGTGACGGGACAGCCAGTGGCTTTGCAAGGGGTATGCATATTCTTATATATGGCTGTAAGCACAATGTAATTCAATGTATGTACCTACGTTAATTGTTACACATAAACATAACAAACAGAATTATCAGATTCTAACCAGTCCCATCATCACCTGTGTGCCAGCACTAGCAGTGGTGCCAAGGTGAAACTAGAAGCTCCTCATTCCTTATTCATGTGTACAAGAATACAGAACACATGGACACTTATGCAAAAGAGCCAGACAAATCATCCAGCTCTTGCAGTAATTAAATGCATTGTTATTTTCTTTTGTTTACTTCCAGTTAGAACTAGAAAAACAACCTTGAAATATCCAGCCTTCCTTAAAGAGACAGAAAGAGCAAAGCTGTGCAAGTCACCTCTCTTGCACAAACCGGTTTTCTCTGTTTGTTATTTTTGCACACTTCCCTCTCCCTTGAGACAGCGAAGGCTGCTGAGGACAAGCCAGGCCTGACGTGTTCCACGTGTTGTCAACATCTATTAAATAGCTCAAGTGGGAGGAGGGGAAGCTCGCTCTGCACTGCACGTCCACAGCTCGCCTCGCAGATAGCTCGCTCTCGTGCACAGCCATGTGTGTGTAATGTTGCCCGTGACGTCACCAGGTCTGTTATGGGCATGAAGCAGCGGCATTGAGGGTTCCTCAGCCCCTCAGCAAAGTGCCTAGCACAGGGTTAATGCACGCAGCGAATAGCTGAGCAGTCAGGCAGATGTGGGATGAGGGGGAGGAAACAGCAGGTCAATAATGCTCTTTGAGCTGCACGTAAACTGTGTGCACATGGGAGGGGGAGGGTTTCAAGAGAGAAAGCAAACATTTCTTTTATACCTATTTCCATGCAGTGCTGACCAACTCAAAAAGCACTCTGCAAATGCCCTGCATTGTTTGCCGGCAAGTGGGAAAGGCATCTGAGTGATCTTGTAACAGGAAACAACCACTATAGGTCACTGATACCTCTCTAGGCTAGGAGATTGCCTGTGAATTGTCAGTGGGCATAGATATAGTTAACTACTGCTCTAACCATCAGCATTACTTATAATGTATGATATATATTATATATATTTTTTATTATTATTATTATTATAATTTTTTTTTGCACGAAAGCAGAACATGTATTTACAAATGAGAATAGTAATCAAACTTTATAGTGTCTATATAATTTATAAATAGGTCTGTAAAACAATAGAAAAATAACTACATGGGATTTAAATTATATTGGTCAAAGTGAACAGCTTCAACCTTGAGGGCAATTAGATTGGCTAAATTAGAAAATGATAAATGCAGAACAAAGAATTGCATGACAAGCCCTAATAGTTTTAGTAAGTGCATACATTAACCCCTTAAGGACACATGACATGTGTGACATGTCATGATTCCCTTTTATTCCAGAAGTTTGGTCCTTAAGGGGTTAAAGGAACACTATAGTGTAAGGAAAACAAACACGGTCCTAACAGTGTGAATAATTTAGGCACATGAGCAGTGGGGTCTCTGAACCTGTACACGATACCTACTCCTGCCTAAGCTGCAATCACTGTACTGGGGTAATCAAGGGTGAATTGTGAACCCATCCAAGGTCGAGCCAACAGGTTAAACTCAAAGGGTTCTTTAAATGCCAGACAGACTATGTACAAGTGTCCATGCGGACTGGGTTATGTAGGAAAGAACAAACGTGCAATTTAAAGACCAGGTGTTTTAAAATAAGACGACGATGATTCATAGCATGACCTCTGACGCACCAGTAGCACAACATTTTAGGTAAAAGAGACATAATGCCTCGCAGCTACGGTACCAAATACTTTATAGGGTTTCCCCGCTCACGAGAGGAGGTAACAGGGAAAAGATGCTTCTTCAAAAAGAAGTTCGCTGGATGC